CCCTTTTCATAAAAAAACCAAACAAAAAAATCATATTTCTTTTTACATCTACATTCTTGTATTTTATTTGTTTATTTTGTACATTTATTCAAATTCGATATGGTTGTAATAATTATTTAGATTAATTTCTTGCAATAGCATAGTAATTTTACATTTCCGCAATTTATCGCTTTATATACAAATGCTAGTAATTAGGGTTTTGTATGGAAAGACTAAAACCAACAAATAGCAAACCCTAATCAAAGATAAGTCAAGCATGAAAATCAATCCACTTGCACACTAACACCCCTGGGGTAAATTCACTTGGTTGCCTTACCAAAATAGCCATATTATGCATGTGAGGTATCTTAGCAAAAACAAGCAAAAATACAAGATCATAGTCCCTCGATGACGCTATCTATGTTGCCTTTCAAAATGATCTTAGTCCCTAAAGAAAAATGCTAAGATATCTTGCAACATTGCTAATCATGGTTATACGATGACCCACGCCCGTCCCTTTTACATCCAAAGATAGGGTTACTTACCAAATCAATGGTAAGATAACAATGTCAAAGGAAAAAGGAAATGAACATGAAAGACTTTTGAGTAGGTAAAATGTTCCTAGTTACTTGCTCCATTTCAAAACAAAAACATCCTTACTATTTTCAAAACAAATACCAACACTTTCAAAACATCTTACAAACTTGAAAACCTTTTCAAAAGATCAACACCTTTGTATACATTCTTCTGAACGAGAATCATTACAAAGTTTGCCTAAACAATGACCTCTTTTCAAAATACTTTCAAAAACCACACAAAGCATATTTTCAAACAAAAGCAAGTGATCTAGCAAGTAACTAAGAGCCCATGAAAAACCATGGATGAAAAGGGTGCTAATACCTTCCCTTTTCATAATCTACCCCATGAACTCAAGAAACAATCTCAAAGGTCTTTCCTGTGCTTTTTCACCTTTCTTCTTGGATAAAAGAAAAGTCGGTGGCGACTCTTGCTAACCGCAACATTTGTAATCAAACACAAAACACCAAAGTCAGTTCTCCCACCGTATCACTATCCCCAATAGAGTTTTTTTGATTGTTTTATAAGCTTTCGTTTTATTTACATTTTTTATTAAGTCTCCTCTTCAATTGTATATCTTTTTATTGATTTTTGAATCAATACTATTTTTAGCGTGCATAATTCAATTGGTTGTATTTGAGTTTTATCATGATACTTTAAGTCAATTGCTTGAGTTAGTGGAAAAAGAACCATATATGTTATTGGTTCATGTTAGGTTGAAAGGAAAATCTCAAATTATTTTGAAAAACATGAAAAATTGAGATTGCGTGTGCATGACTCGAATCATGTACATATCTTGACTCGAATGAAAACGAGCAGGGGGCAAACATAAGTTTTTCAACATTCTTGACTTGAATCACAGTTTTAACTTGATTCAAATCGAACAACTATGTGACTCAAATCACAAGTTTCACTTGATATGAATAAGACATGTCATGTTAGCCACTGCCTCATTTGATTCAAATCACACTTCCTACTTGACTTGGATCACATAGTTTTTCATATTTTTCTGTTTGGCTATGTCCAAATTGATTTAAATCAAGTTTGTGCCTGGCTCGAATCATAAGCCTACATGACTCAAATTCTTTATGTTTTCTTGTTTGATTATACTTGCTCATTTGAATCAAATCATGAAATATTATTGATTCAAATCTAACTAATTTTTCCATCCATTTTTGTGCTTAATCTAAAGAACATATAAATTCCTTTTTTTCATCCCATTCCAAACAAATTTTCACATAACTGATAATATTTTTCAGAGTGATTTGTGTGAAAATCAAACAACCCATATTTGAAAACTCAAAAACTCTTGCAAACATAATTTATTTCATCTTCAACCTCTAGTTTTTGATTTCAGATCTTTATCATGAGAGGTTTATAATTATTGAGGGAGACGTGTCTTGAAACTAACCGTTCTTGAAGGTTTTGGTAAAGATTTTCAGGAAGCTTGCATGATTTTAGTTGTTGTCATTGGTGCTGACAAATTCTAGTGAAAAGAATGAGGTTCTTCTCTTCAATTGATCTTGGTAGTGAATGTGTTGAAGGCTACAAATAAAGTGGAGTTTTTCTCAATCTTCAGAAAATTCACCGCTCAATAAATCGGTGGGATCAATGGGTGATTGTCACATATGAAGACTTGAAGCAGATTGGTGAAGCTAGAAGACTCAAGAAAAATAATCGAGTAAAGATTCCACAAAAGAGTTTGATATTAAGTTGTATACAAGTCAATATCTAGATAGGAGATTTATTTTTTCCAGCAATGTTGTGGATTAGTGATTGTATGAAGTCTTATAATATTTGTCAAAATATAGATGAAGAAAGCAACTTCCAATGGTAAACCATTGAAAAGTAGACTAGGCTCCCGCAAGGACAATAGAGTTGAACCACTATATATCCTGATATTCTCTCTCTCTCTCTCTCTCTCTCTCTCTCTCACACACACACACACACACACACACACACATACACACACACACACACACACACACACACACACACACTTGCATTTTAATTTTTGTAGATTATTACATATTTATGTATTCGTTTCCCAATGTCGTTTAGTGTTATTTTGCATTAGTATCAATTTATTACATAAGTTTAGGTTTTGTTAGAATTGGGAACCTGATTGTGTTTTAGTGCTGGTTAAATTCTATGGACCAGCGGTGTTAGAATTCTGTTGAAATTATTAATTTGAAAATAGCACAACTCGTGAAGTTTATGAGTTATCAATTCCAAATAGTTTGTAATTTTTTGGTGTTAATCTTTCATCAATTCTATGTATTTGTGAATAGATTAAATTTTATTCGTGGTTGATTTCCGAAACAAGCATAAAATCTATTTTTGCTTTAAGACTTCCGTGCGCTTTTGAAAAACCTCTTATATTCTGTTTTTGGAAAATCAGTCAATTTTTTAATAAGGGTCTATTCACCCCCTTTAGACTGTTTCGATACTCCATATTTTCTCCCAACAGAAGTGTAGAACACTATTGGAATGATTTATGGAGTTTCTCCAAGCTTCAAGAAAGAGGGGATGAATACACAAACTTAGGAAGTTGAAACATCAAATGAATGTGAAGGTTATATTCATAAATGATGTTCAACCATTAGAAACCTTGGAGGATATATTATAAATTTTGTTTCTAAAAAATATCTAAGAGTTAAGATTTGGAACTAGAAATTTGGTCCAATCCTTAAATCGAGAGATGGAAGTGTTTGTGATTTTCAGGAAAAATCCAAGAAAGTGGAAATAATTTAAAATCTCAATGAGTTGATTTAACTATTAAATGATGAAGGAATAAATTTATAATAATCGTCATCAACTTCATTAAGAGGTTTTGTTGAAGAAGAAGTAGTAAAATCAACCCATGTGGTTTCGTTTGAAAGAATAGTATCAACAAATGAACGATCTACTGAAGAATCATTGTCTAATAATGAAGAAGCTTCATCGAGAAGAATGTATGCTTCAAACAATATAGATGATGAAGAAGATTTTTTCAGTAGAATCTTTGAAAGAAGAAATAAAGGAAATGCTTCATCAAGCAGAATCTTTGGAGTTTCATCCAGGGAAGAAGATGAAGACTCATGCAAGAATTACTTCGATAACATCCCAGACAATACCTATGGAGATTCATATAAGTAATCTCCGAAGCAATCATTAAATTCGTACAAAGTAGAGGATGTGCATATTTTCTAGAAAGTGTCTGATGAGGATGGCTCTAAGGTAACTTCTCTATCTCATAACCAATTGTTTAAACTTAAAGTTAAGCTCGCTAAGAAAAATGAGAATTTAGAGAAGAACATTGTTGATTTAAGAATTATTTCAAATTCTTGGAGAATATCAACAAGATTCTCTATGAGAAAATTACTAGCAATAAGATTCTTGAAGATAAGACAATATGACCATTTCTACCACAATAATTACATTTTAGCATACTACGTTTATAGGTCATATTCACATGGCAAATACTACTAAAAGACCTAACATTTTTTTAAATGCATAACCTAGACCAATTTTATTATTTTTATTATAGAATCATCTTTTTAAGAAATTATTATTTTTTAAATTAATCACAATTTTTGAATATCACAATTCACCCTCCTCTTTTATTTGGAGTCACTTGTTCAACAAGTGAATCAGAGCCTAACTTCTGCTCAATACTAACCGTCCTAGGAGGAAGGAAATGACTTGAAATGCCCGTTTAACAAACTCCCACTCTTTAATGGAGAAGGTTCTTTCAACAATTGAGGAGGTTCTTTCAGTTGGTTGTTTAAAACATAATTTACTAAGTATTGGTATTGATGTTGGTTGAAAGTTACCCAATCCAGAGATTGAGGAGGTTATTCCAATAAATGATTTAAAGCATAAGTTACTAAGAATTAGTCAATATGTGATAAAGGTAATAGTGTAGCCTTTGTTTCTTCTGGATGCAGAGTTATCAAATTAAAACCAGATCAAACCATCTTTATTAGATCTAGAAGTGGAAACACCCACTCCATGAATCTAAATAAAATGCTTTCAAATTATGTTTGTCTTCTGAGTAACGAGGTTGCATAATGGATATGACATATGAGAATAGTCCATATCTACATGGACCACTTAAATAAGTTGGCCTACAAGGATTTAGTGATCATTTCTGAAATATAACTAAAAGCTAAGAATTGAAACCAAAAACCTTATCCAATCCTTAAATCGAGAGATGGAATTGTTTGTGATTTATAAGAAAAATCCAATAAAGTGTAAATAATTTAAAACTCAATGAGTTGATTCAACTATTTAAGCATGAAGGAATAAATTTAGAAGAATCATCATCAAATTCATCAAGAGGTTTTTTTGAAGAAGAAATAGTAAAATCAACCCACGTGGTTTCGTTTGAAAGAATAGTCTCAACAGATGAACGATCTGTCAATGAATCATTGTCTAATAATGAAGAATATTCATCAAGAAGAATGTATGTTTCAAACAATAGAGACGATGAAGAAGATTCGGTCATTAGAATCTTTGACAGAAGAAATAATGGAAATGCTTCATCAAGCAAAATCTTTGGAGTTTCATTAAGGAAAGAAGATAATGACTCATGCAAGAATTACTTAGACAACATCCCAGATAATACCTATGAAGATTCATATGAGGAATCTTCGAAGCAATTTTTAAAGAAGTTTGAAGAAGAAGATGAACATATTTGCTAGATTTCCTCTAGCAATTTTTATTTTCATTTTAAAGAGAGAATATTGTTTAATTAGAGATAGAAAAAATTATTTTAATTTTCTTGACTAATTATCTAACTTTTTACAGATGGGGAAGAACCTATAATAACTAAAGTTAGAAGTTAGATCATTTACCATGCTGTCTTCGTGTTTTAACATTTAACATGTGTTGACTTCTTCATCTTTTTCTAATTCTTCCAAAGAGTCCACATCATTATCATCCTATGATATTTATTCCTTCATTGTTTCTTTGCGAGGTCTTTTGAATATTTTAGCTTATTTTTGGTTTTGAGAGAAATTTGACTTTATATGACCTTTCTTTCTGCATTGGAAGCATGTTGACACAAACGAAGATCTTTCTTCAATTTTGTGTTGAAACCTTTGTGGTAACTTTTCATGCTTCTTGAACTTCTTAAACTTTCATACTAAGAAATTCATGTCTTCATCAATTTTTTTAATCTTTGGCTTCTTTGATTTAGAGTACGATATTTTTCTTGTTCTTGTTATCTTTTCATTTTCTATAAGCCTTTTCATTTCAATATCATGTTCTTGCATTTTTTAAAACTAGATAGCCAAATTCATATAAGACAAGTCTTTAGGTTTGCAACTGCGGGGCTTAGATATATAAGGACTTTGTTAATTAAATATTCATTTAGAAAAGTTTTTCCTAGAGTTATTAAGTGATTAACAATGTTAATATATGGTTTTTACATGTTGTAAATATTTTGCTCAGGTTTTATTCTAAATAATTCATATTTATTGGTCAATATGTTCATTTTATCCGTTTTTTTACCTCGATTGTACCTTCATGGATACTTAAGGGGTGTCCTACATTTCTTTTGAAGAATTATAATGAGAAACACGGAAAAACTCATCAATATCGAGAGTGATAGTGATAGTAGTTTTAGATTTCAAAGTATACTACATTTTTTCTTCTTCCTCTTTGATTTAGATTTTTATAGTTTTTTTCCACAACACCATTAACTTGATGTGTGAGAATAAAAAAACCATTTTTTTACCACGGCCCAAATATCACAATCCATCCTCTCTATTAAAAGTTTCCACATTCTCTTTCCAATAATCATATACCTCTCTCCATTAAAGAACATGAGTTTGTTTAGTGAATTGTTTGAAGTCATCTTATCTCTTGTGACAATTAATCTTATAACAAGAATTCGACTCTGATGCCACTTTCTATTTAAGGAAAGAATTCTCCTTGTTTGAAGACTTTGTCCTTGAAAATTTTGGTTTGTCATTTTCTTGTTTCCATTGATTCTTTTGTATATTGTTTGTAATACTATATTCTCAAATATCTTTCTTAAGTTAGAATGATATAGTATTTGATTGCAATTGTGACTTAACATGCCCCATATAATTGTATTCTTTCAAACACTTGGGAGTAGGGGTTACAAACAGGCATACCTGCTTTGCAAAAGCCTACAAAAAAAAATGGGGTGAGACAGACATTATTGAGGGTATGAGTCTAAAACTTTTCCCGGCTCCGTAAAAAAGTAAGGGCGAGGTGGGACGGGCCCACATGCATTGCATATATTAAGCCAAAATTATAAAATTTATCTAAATACCTGCGTCCGCAAAAGCCCGCAAAAAAATGGGGCAGAACGAACATACTAAAGGATGCGGGCCTAAAACCTTAGTCTGCCCCACAGAAAAGTGCGGGCAAAACGGGCATGCTCGTCGAGCCAGACCCGTTTTGCCACCCCTACTTGGGAGAGTGTTTGAGTCAAAATGTGAGGAGTCTTAGATTTATGGGTCTCTAGATAGAAATTCATAGCTAGTATTGGTAAAGGGCATTGGACTGCGAGAGTTCAAATGAGACAGTCGTGTACTATTAATTACTGATTAATGAATTTTTTTTCCATTAGGCCGATGTTTTCTAGACGTAGATAGTATTACACCAAACTAGGTTAACAATTACATGTGTTATTTATTTTTCTTATTTGCTATTTACTTTTACTTCCTCACATTGTCTCATACATTATCTCAATATTGTGTGATATCTTGTTATCAATCTAACACAATTTAATGTATGAGTCAAATAGTAATTGAACCTTGTTTTTGAAACAATAAATGAGTCTTTCTTCATTAGGCCTTTGGACGACCCAAAATAATATGTAAATAAGAAATTCATCTGATGTTTAAATATACTAACAAATTATAAAACAATAATATTAAATGTTTGTTTACATTGACTTATCCAAACTTACATAAAAGCATAAATTATGTGAGATTATTTATTTTTGAGAACTTATCAAAATAATTTATGTCATTTTTAATAATTTTTTTGTTGCTCATTTATATCTAAATTTTATTTTTATATTTTAATTCAAAATACAAAATACAATATAATAATAATAATAATATATTTAAATATGACGACCTAATAAATTTAAAAGACTTTTATGATTATGACATAATCTTTTTAAATAAAATAGTACTTTTCAAAAAGTGTAACTGTTTTTTATTTAAAAAAATCTAATCTAGACCGTAATTAATCCAATTTATTTCCATCTTTATTTGGGTATCCATCCGTTTTATGATGTACCGGAATCTTGATCCACTGTACGATTCTTTAATAGAGAAAGATGTGGTAATTTAATTAGGACATATTATAAATACATTCTTGAACCAAAAAAATTCAACTAAATAGTTACTTATTGTGATATAAATTAAACACACATGTTGATATATTCAAAATTCTTAAATAGACCTACATATAACACGTAAATTTACATGCAATAAATTATAATTTTTTTATTAATTAAAAATAAAAATAAAATTATCTTTCTCTTCTATTATAACAACCACTCTATGATTTCAATTAAATTTTTTTTAAAAATAAATTTAAAGTTTTTTTTTTCTGTTTAAATAGATTTTATAATAGATTTCTGTTTTTAAATTTTTTAAGATCTAGTATTTTATTCAAAATAATTTTTTTTTACTTTTACATTTTTTTTTAATTTATGTCTTAAGTCACATGTTAAATAAACCCGTAAAATAAAGTAGAAACAAATTCTATCAACTCTAAACAGCGTAATTTTAGTAAATTAATCCTCTGCTGTTAAATATTATACAGTCCCCTACAATCAGTGAGGTTTGTGTGTATTTTGTAGGCTATTTTTATAATTATTTCTCTTCATATTTTCTGACTCCAAATCTTATCAATTACACTAAATGTATGAACTTGTAGTCATATGTATAATTTTATTAAATAAAACCAAAAAAGAAATACAAATATTAAATAAGGTTATCCACAAAGGCACATAGTTGTCAAATGACTCACCTTGAAACATAAATTGTCTCAAACCTAATCCAGTGAGACATCGACAGGCCACAGCTGTAACCCTCTTCTTTCGCACGTGTCACCTCACAACCCCTAATCCCAATCCAACTCACACACTCTTTTTCTTTCCTTCACAATCACTCCTACTCCTCTCTTTGGTTTCAAACCTTTCAACTTCCACATAAACAAACATTTACCACTATTACTTCACTTTTTTTTTTTTTTTTTTACCTTAAACACATAAACAAGAACACTTTGGTTTGAATTTGGTACCTACAACACACACTACAATACAACACAATACAAGTACAACAACAAACCAAACCATAGAAGACTTTGTCTCATCCAACTAGGAATTCCACCTCATCTCTTTTTTCCTAACACCATGAAAACAGGTTAGTCCCTCTTTTTTTTTTTTCTTCATATTTTTATTTCCTTCCGTTTATTACTTAACGGTTAATTCCAATTTCCGCAAGATCCGTGCTAGAAAAGGAAAAGAATAGTTAAATGAATGATTAAATATTACAATTTTTTGAGTAATTTATAGTTTGTGATAATTACTTTATGAGGAAACCAATTTTGGCTTTTGAGTATAGACTTGCTAGTTGTTAATTATGATTAGTTTAGGTTTAATTTACCAAGATTTATCTTGATGTAGTATTGGATTAAAGTAGGTGTTTGGGTAGATTTGGTAACATAGTTTAATAGGAATTTATCATCTTCTATGGATAATGTATCTAAGAATCATTTAGTTTATTGTTTTGCATTAAATTTTGTAGTTGTTTTTTTGATTTGAGTGTTTTTTTGGATAATGGCATATAATTTGCGTTTCAGTATTCAGTAAGTGATTTCTTTTAAGAGTTGCTGTTCAAGTTCATCTTAAGACATCAACAGATATCAATACTTGATTATTGGTGTATTCGATTCGTGCATTGAGCCGTGTTTCTAAACTGATCTTTATGGGGACTAAGGAGGATAGTACAACTAAGCCTTCTAAATTATCTACTTCAACTCAAGAAGTACCGGTACCTACTGTACCGCCATCGTATCCAGATTGGTCAAACTCCATGCAGGTATTGGAACATATGACCCTTTTCGATAAATAGCTATTTTCAAGTGTTTATAGCGTACAGCCAAAATACTTTTTTTGGTCCGTATGTTGTATGATAACGTCAATGTTCATTTTGGTCCCTTAACTTAAAAAATATTTATTTTAGTCATTTTTTCCTAATTAGCGATGAATTTAGCAATCGATTTCTGAGTTTTTCCGTTGCTAATTAGACAAAAAAGACTAAAATAAAGCGTTTTTAAGAGTTTAAGAGACCAATATGAGCTTTTTTTTAAGTTAAGGGACCAAAATGAACCTTGACGTTAACATACATGACAAAAAAGAGTATTTTGCCTAGCGTAAATGCTTGTCATATAAGCTATTTCTATAACAAAAGATAAAATAAGTCAAACTGTTTTAGTATAACCTATAAGTTGTTTTCATAAGCCATCCCGGAGAGCTTATGGAACTAAGCTAAAAATAGTTTATGGACATGTTATAAACTTATAACTCGTAAGTTCTTCCAAATAGTCTCACGAGTGCTTATGGTACTAGTTAAGTTCAAATAAGTCAATTCAAACCGTTCATATACCGAGAACTAATGATTAACATCTTATTTAGGCCTACTATAATCCTGGAGCTGCTCCGCCTCCCTATTATGCCTCGACTGTTGCTTCACCGACCCCCCATCCGTATATGTGGGGAGGTCAGGTAAATGTTGCCCGTCCTTTGGGTTGTATGTATTCCACTCTATGTTGGATAATCTTTTCAATCATGCACAATTTTGTTGATATTTCAGCATCCTTTAATGGCGCCATATGGTACTCCAGTTCCGTATCCAGCTATGTACCCTCCTGGGAGTATCTATGCTCATCCTAGCATGGTGGTGGTAAGTCATTTTCTCACCTCTCTTAATTCCTATACTCATGTATTCACATTTTACCAGGAAACTTCTTTGCTACATCACTATGTTTCCTTCATTTTATCGTTTGTCTAGACTCCGGGTACTATGCACCAAACTACGGAGTTTGAAGGGAAGGGACCTGATGGAAAGGATAAGGATTCATCGAAAAAATCAAAGGGAAATTCTGCAAATGCATGTGCCAAAGCAGGAGAGAGTGGAAAGGCAGGCTCGGGTTCAGGCAACGATGGCTTTTCACAAAGGTTTTGCTAGCCACTCGTTAGTTTGAGAATGTTTTGAGATTTTTACTCTTCAATTTTCTTTCTTAATATGAATTTCTATATCGTTAAACAGTGGTGAAAGTGGTTCAGAGGGTTCATCAAATGGTAGTGACGAGAACCAACAGGTATACCACAGATTATCATTGTTACGTGTTCTCTTACGTGTTGATTGTAACTACATTTGTTGGTATCAAGTCTTTGTTTATTTGTTGTTTGATGATGTCTATCTTTTTGTAGGAATCGGTTAGAAACAAGAAGGGAGGTTTTGACCTCATGCTTGTTGATGGTAGGTGTCGCTTGCAATCATTATTATATATTTTTTTGATGTCGCCTAACCAAATTAGTTTTTCCACGAACTTCAGGAGCCAATGCACAGAACAATACCGCCGGACCCATTTCTCAATCACCTGTTCCTGGAAACCCTGTTGTCTCGATGCCTGCAACTAATCTTAATATGGGAATGGATTTATGGAATGCATCTTCTGCTAGTGCTGAAGCCGCAAAAATGCGACACAATCAATCTGGTGCTCATGGAGCCAGTGGACATGGTGAACAATGGATGCAACAGGTATGGGTCCCATAATTTGTTTTTTTGGTCAACATTTTCCATCTTTGTTGATATCATACATGTTGGTTGAACTTCCTCTGACCTTCTAATGTCTCTGATATCGATAGGATGACCGTGAGCTGAAAAGGCAGAAGAGAAAACAGTCGAATCGGGAGTCGGCTAGGAGGTCAAGACTGCGCAAGCAGGTTAGTTTACTTTCCCTGGCTCGGGAGACCGTGCCAGTTAGTGGTTTGCTTAATTACTTTTTTTACCGCCGAGTACAATAAAAAAACGACAACCAAGCCTTATTCCATTAAGTAAGGTCAGCTACATGGATCAAATTACGCCATAATGTTCTATCAAATATCATGTTTCTATCTAACGCCTAACACGAGTTATATTATTCAATATTTATTGGTGGTTTGGGAATCTGGAACAAAAATATATAAGACACCTAATAAGGAGAGTAGATCAGACAACAAGTCAAATCCTTTACAATCGATCAACAAGTCAAACCAAATCTCAGCGTTGGATCCAATGGCTGAGATTTGGTTTGCAATTAGACATTAATTCACTATACGAGATTATTTGTTACCTAAACTACGTAGCCAACATAACTAGTTGAGTAAGGTTGTGTTTTTTAATATTAATACAACCATTTTACTTAAAGAGAAAAATGATTTGTTTTGCATTTCTTGTACCAACTAGGCTGAATGTGAAGAGCTACAAAAGAGGGTGGAGGCGCTTGGAGGTGAGAATCGAACTCTTAGAGACGAGCTTCAGAAACTTTCTGAGGAATGCGAAAAGCTTACATCTGAAAACAATTCTATCAAGGTATGTTTCTCTTACCATTCTACTTTCACAAGTAGGTACTGACATATGCTACTGAAATCAAAATTTTATCTGACAACAATTGCACGAAACAGGAAGAGTTGGAACGGTTATGCGGGCCAGAAGTAGTTGCTAACCTTGAATGAATTCAAGAAGAACAGTTCCACGGTGTGATCTTTGATGGCAATAGCAAAAATTGATTGACTCCTTAAGACAAATCTGCAGCTGGAATTTTCTAATCATTGAACTGGTCTCTTAATTGAGAATAGGATATAATGTCTTTTTTTTCTTTTCTTTCTCATTGTTTAACTTAATGATTTTTATACCATTAACCTTCAACTGTAATTGCTCTTATAATTTACACGTAATTTGTGCCTATGCTGGAGAATATAATGTGTAGCTACTGAAATACTTGTGTTTAGAATTTAGTTGTGACTGATGTTGAGGATCTAGCTTCAACTTTTCAGTTTTTCGATTTTCACTACCTTAACTCAAAATTTGTGCTATATTTTGACTGTTTTTTTTCTTCTTTTCGAGGTGGAGTAATTTCTAGAGAGAAGATTAGAGAGAAGATTAGAGGAGACAAAAATAAATTCTTAAAGAAAGAGTCTAAGCTTATAAGTCCAGGATATCTTTTTCGTTATTTAAAAGAAGTCTACCGTGCGATGCCGGATAGGTTATATTAAATTATTATTGTAGTTTTTAAAGAGTTTAATTAAAAATATATATTAATATTGATATTTTTAATATTAATTATGATTTTAATTTAATATATAAATTAATTTTTTTAAAGTTTGGATTAATTAAAATTTGATAAAATAAATAAATAACTGAAATATGATATTTATATGTAATGTCTATTTCAGTCTTAATTGAAAAATTATTGAAGTTTGAAGAAGTGACACCCTGCTTATGGGGGTGAAGAGTCAGGCCTTGAGGGCAGTTTTAGTGTTTGTTTGAAGTTATGTCGGACTTGAAAGTTAATCTCCACAAAAGTTTGTTGGTAGGTTTTAATATCTCTGAGTCTTGGTTGAATGAGGCAGTCTCGATGCTACATTGTAGAATTGGAATGGTTTCATTTTTATATTTGGGCATTCCGATTGGTGGCGATTCTAGAAGGCTAGTTTTTTGGAGTTCCACGGTAAAGTATATTAAATTTAGGTTGTTTGGTTGGAAGAGTCGATATTTATCATTTGGGGGCTATTTAATCCTCTTGAAGTATGTCCTTACATCTATATTTATCTAGGCCCATGTCTTTCTTCAAAGTTCCTGCACGTATTATCACTTCCTTAGATTCTATTTTTATGAACTTCTTCTGGGGAGGTTGTGACAATCATAGAAAAATTGCTTGGGTTGATTGGGCAACTATTTCTAAAAACAAGGAGTTTGGTGGGTTTGAGGTGAGGAGGCTAAAGGAGTTTAATATATCTCTGTTAGGAAAGTGGTATTGAAGGATGTTTGTTGAGAGGGAGTCATTGTGGGTGAAGGTGTTGGAAGCTCGATATGGTGATGAAGTCGGGCGAGTGAAATCAGGTGGGAGGTGTTGTTCTAATTGGTGGAGATAGGCGGGTCGGGTTCGGGATGAGGTGGGTTTAGAGGAAGGAAGTTGGTTTAATGACGATGTGCGTAGGAAGGTGGGTAATAATGTTCATACTCTCTTTTGAACGGATACTTGGATATGAGAGGTGCCTTTATGTGAGAGATTTAGTCGTCTTTTTACCAGTTGTCTGAGTTTAGAGGGGAGTCAGTAGTAAACATATTTCTCTTAGGGCGGGGAGTAGGAGGTGGTGCTTGGAGGTGGCAACAGAGGTTGTTAGGTTGAGAGGAGGATTTGGTGGAGGAGTGTTATTACTATTACTTGACGTCTCTTTACAGGACAACATTAGGGAGAAATAGACGTTTTCTGAAGGCACGTGCTACATGGTCAGTGATGTTTATCATATGCTTACCAACTGGGAAGATCAACAGGTGGACTCCATTTTCGATTATGTTTGGCATAAACAAGTTCCTACAAAAGTTTCTATCTGTGCGTGACGGTTGATGCGTGACAGGTTGCCTACCAAGGTTAATTTAGTCAATCGAGGAATTATTTCTCGAGAGGATCTATTATGTGTTGTTGGGTGTAGTATGGTGGAGTCAACACAACATCTATTTCTTTCACTGTGAGTTCTTCGGTTCGTTTTGGCAACAAGTTCGGTCTTGGATAGATATTGACGGGGTTCATCTGTTTCACCTTACCAATCACTTTATTCAATTTTTTCACTTGTCAGGTGGAAATAGTGTTTGTTGTGACTTTTTACGGTTACTATGACTCACTACTATCTTGGTTAAAATGTTTTGATGTGGAAGTAGTGTTAAATAGATGTCTTTTATGTGATTAAAGACCAAACCCTTTAATTTTATTTCCGGATCTCATGTGTAGTGGTAAAATCTTTAGATTTATTTAAATTTAGGATAAGGTTTTCCTTCTTCGAATAACAAAAGTATTGTAAACTTTTACGTCCTCTATGCTATATCTTGTAATATAGAGTTGTTTATATTAATCTATTTTGGTTTCTTAAAGAAAAAAAATTAAAAATTAAAACTATTTAAATAAATGATGAAATCCAAAGAGCTCGAAATTTATTTATTTAAATTATAAATAAAAATTTAATCAATTTAAAATTCAATAGTTTAATAATTTTATGTACATAAATTATAAATAAAAATTTAATCAATTTAAAATTCAAAGGAGCGAAACAAAATAAATTGTTGAGTTTTTAGTTAGTTTTCTTATTTGTCAGTGGGTTAGTGATTTTTTTTAGTAGTTTCATCACTAATTGTTAATGGAGTTAGTTGTGTTTTTTTGGTGAATATATATAAAGTGCTATTTTGTGTGTTTTCTATCAGAAATGACACATAACATAAGTATTTACCAAAATCTTATATATAGATTTAATAATTATTTATTATATATCAAAACATAAATTGTTTGGAGTTTCAATAATAAAATCCATTTCGTGGATCTTTTTGGGTATATTTGATGGTAATACAACTTGATTTAGTATAGATTTGAATCAACAATTGGCAAAATTAAAAATTTGAATCATTGACGATCTAAAAACACAATGAAAAATAAGGGTTATAATTTAGATCCTTAAGATTTATAGCTATTCCATTTATCCTAATTATATTAAGTCAACTCATAACTATTCTACTTACAAATGTAAATTAAATTTTGAGGAATAAAAAGTTTATATAATAATATAATTAAATAAAATAAATAATAAATAAATTGGTGAAATTAATAAAATAAAACAAATATATAAGATTATAAATTTATCTTTTATTTTAGCGCTAAAAGTTATTTAAGAGACTTAGTAATTTTTATAAGATAACTATTCTATTTGTAAAAAAAAAAAACTATTCTACTTACAAATGTAAATTTAATTTCAAAAAATAAAAAATTTCAAAGTATAAATTATAAATATTTGAAATAATGGCAATGCAAAAAATTAAAGTACATTCCTAAAATAAATTTGAAATCCATAATAAAACAACATCCTCCTTAGTAACAATGAATTTGACACTTTTATTTTTTCTACCTTTTGTTTTAGAAACCAAAATTTTATAACATTGAATAATAATAAAAAGTTAAAAATAATGTAGAATATAAATTTTTTAATTATGACAACATATACTTCAATTTATCTAGGTTCATTTCTATTTTTTTCATGTTTAATATGTAAGAAATTTTAGGTGAAATTTCCATTGTAGAGGTTAGTGGTGATTTATGTTATTTCATGAGTCATTAATGTCTAAGTGGTGTTTTCTATTTTTTAATTGGAAGGAAAGTTATAAAAAAATTGTGGAATGCATTTAATTTTTATAAAAATATGTTTATATATATAATAATCATAGTTAAATAAAATAAATAATAAATAAATTGGTGAAATTAATAAAATAATATAATATATAAGATTATAAATTTATTCATTATTTTAACGCCAAAAATTATTTAAGAGGGCAACTTTTATATATAAAATACATTAAAATGAGAGATATTAGACTTTATTTCTTAAATATTTCATAAACCTTTTGTTTAATAATAAGTCTTATAATAAGTTTTCTTAGAACTATATGAATAACATACATGTAATGCTTACAATATTTTTCCGAAAACATATAAGATGATTTGTATTATTAAGCATCGTTCCCACTAATTCTTCAAGATATCTATTTTTATTTTTTACTATTTTATTTAATGGTGAAGTAAAAACGTGTTGAATTCCATTTTCATTACATTTTTATTGAAATTCACCTCAATGATTATTATTATTTATTTAAATTCACCTCAATGATATTTTTTTTTTTACAAAACCTCAATGATTATTTTGAAAGGCAACAAAAATGTAATTTTCTATAAGAAATAAAGAACGTCCATATATAGTGATACTATAATGATTAGTGCATAAAAATTCCACAAAAATCCATAGTTTTGGATAAACAAAAATGGTCGATGTGTTATAGTTGTATAGACCGATTTGTAAAAATCATATTTTTATTTAATTATTTAGAAGTGGTTTTTACTTTATTTTTTTTTAGCATTTTTGACACACCCCACATAATCTATCTTACTTTGTAATTTTTTTAAGGACTTAAACAAGTTTTGGTTTCTATAAGTTTGCACATTTTTGTTTTTTATTTCTATTATCTTTTTTATAAAGTCCTTTAGTTCATACAATTAAAATTTTGTAGGAAAATTTACAAATTTTCAGTAGATTTTAATTTTCTGGATTAAAATCAAAATAATTTTAATATTCAAGAATTATTCAAAAAAAATACATAAATGAAAATAAAAAAATATGCAAATTTATAGATATCAAAAGATTATTATTTTGGACTGAGCATGCCTTTGACCCAATTCTTAGTAAGGCCCAATTCAAGTGTGCCGGCCTCCATCAGGGACCGGTACTACCCTCGAATACGGTGGGCAACTACCCACCTTTTCCCGCGAGAAGACATCCTCACCACGCGGGGACAACACTCGAATAGACTGAGGACACTCACGCCCCGACCATGCTGGCAGCGAGGACACTTCAACTAGCTCGTCGGCTAAGACTGGTCTCATATCGAGCTCATATCTGGCGGGGATCACCCACGACGA